AAAAAAGTACGGCCAGTCAAGGTCTTCGTTATACTAACACCGACCACGTGTCACAATTTCAGATTCCAACTCGTAAAAATCGTGGTGTAAATAGAAAATTGCTTACTGGCCTCTACACCTGGGCGCAGGGACGAAATATATATAGGAATATACAGGAAAATGTTGTATTGTAGAGGATATTTTACGAGGCCATAACTTTCGATGGAAGATGACCTGAGCCTTGTAACTACGATCATTGTTCTCGCAATGCTCCCAGGTAAGTGCACACCAAATTTCGGCTTAATCTGTAAAAACGATTTTTATACTGATTTCAGTACCGGAAGAATCCCCCACTACCGCCAATTGAGCATTTAATACCCAAATCAACTCAGATTCGAAAAATTCTGGCACCGGCGCATCCTCTATTGTCTTCTAAGAGTAGGCACAAAATTTCAAGCCAAAACTCGTGGAATTGGCAGCGTGAGACGCGAAACAACGAAAGTGAGCTTCTTGGCTGGCCCAGCTTGTATGGCTTAATCTCCTTACCAAGCACAGAAAATTCGGCGACCTTGCCAAATTTCTGACATAAATTCGATCTGGAATATACCACTCAAGAGACTCTTGCTTTCATTCTTGCGCCATCGCGTCGGGCGTCGAGTGCATCCCGTACGGCCCCTCTTCCACAAACATGGACCCGCGCACTTGCCGCGCTTGTGGAAGGAAGCACGAGGGTCCGTGTTTGTGAAAGAAGGGGGGCCGTACGGGATGTACTCGACGCCCGACGAGACGGTGCAAGAATGAACGTTTTTGAGCGGCCTATCCCGGATCGGATTCTCTCCGCCCAGGCCAGACCGTGGGGCAATATATGGCATGGCTTAAACCCCTTACCATGCACAGAAAATTCGGCGACCTTGCGGAATTTCTGACATGAAATCGATCTGGGATAGGAACGGTTTTTATGTGAAAAAAGAAAAGACCACTCAAAAGACTCTTGTTTTCGTTCTTGCGCCATCGCGTCGGGCGTCGAGTACATCCCGTACGGCCCCGCTTCCACAAACATGGACCCGCGCACTTGCCGCGCTTGTGGAAGGAAGCACGAGGGTCCGTGTTTGTGAAAGAAGGGGGGCCGTACGGGATGTACTCGACGCTCGAGGAGACGGTGCAAGAACAAACGCAATTGTCTTTTGAGCGGCCTATCCCGGATCGGATTCTCTCCGGCCAGACCAGACTGTGGGGCAATATATGGCGTGGCTTACTAGAAAAAGAGAAGGCAGACTATGCCTGTCGTAAGCGACCAAAGGCGTCAATCCTCGTTGGCATTTTTTGGGTCCGGACCAGCATCAAACCTCCTTTGGGGAACTAAAAAAACATACACGAACACACACACGACAGTAGAGATCACATCAACTCCAGAGTCAATCCAGAAGAGTACTCACGAACTCATCCATAAGTTCTTGACGAGTTGAGACGCCACGCCAAGATGCCAGGCCAACTCACGAAAAAAGACATTGCCTTTAGCATCGGCCAAAAAATGCACCACGAAAGCGAACATACATTGCGCCATGCTCGAGCCCCGTTCGGCCGCCAAAACGCCCCCAGCTCCTCCGCCACCGCCACCGCCACCGCCACCGCCACCGCCGCCCACGCCATACGGCGTCGGTATCCCTTGCGGCCTCACCGGCGGCGGGGGCATGTTGGTCGGCTCGTCCGACCACTCACGGGACAGTTGCAGCGCCAACGCCGCGTCGTGGTCGCTGGCACAACAAGACGAGTTGGAAGAGCCGCGTACAACACAACACACACGAAGAGACCGTGAAAAGGAGGAAGGTAGGCAGGCACGCAGGCACGCGAAGGGTCAAGCAAGACGTGAGCTTAGCATGGACACCACACTTGCCACCGTGACAGGCCAGCGCAAAGACGTCGAATATAGACGTAATTAGGCGTTGTAACGTAGGGGTGGGGGGGTGTGGCGAAAAGTAGGATGGGCTCTTCTGAACCTTGATATGGTGGTGGTCGTCATGTTCGGTGAGGGGCAGCCGCAGGGCAAACGCCAAAATGCGTCGTCGTCTCCGCGTGCACAGCAAAAAAAAATAAACACACACACCCACACACACCACACACATGCCGCCCCCTCACGGGGTCCTAGATAACGGCAATTAGAAGTGCTTTCTGTTTTCAACCGCACTGAGACTGACGTATTTTCATTGGTCAGCCTGTTGGCGCGGTCGATGCTAAAAACAAAAACACACAAGACACACAAACACACACGAACACACGTTCTCGCGGAGGGCTATCCACCTTGACTGTTCCAAGTAAGGGCCTGCGTTATGCTATAATGATGCATGTGTTGCAATTTTGGTTGACTTTTTCTGTCTGCTGACACGATGACTGCTGGATCTTGGGAGTGTACGAGCGTCGAATTGGGAGATGCTGCAACGAAATTCTTGTTGTGTCTTGGCTTGAAATACCCCGATTACTGCCCTCCGCTCTTTGCACCAGCGGCTTCCTAGGTTCGGGCGAGGGCGTGCGTGGAGCTGTGGTGTGTGTCTCCATGAAATGATTTGTATGCATAGTGCATTGTGCGGCGATAGGTTTAGGTCTGGCTTGGCGCGACAAGCGTGGGTAAACACTAGGGTTGTGTATCGGAGCCGATATGTTTGATATAATCGGACGATATATATCGTATCGAATATCTATTGTCAGCCCCGATATGTTGGGCGATATATTTGAGGGGGCTCCGTGAATCAAAAAGGGGGCATATGTTAGGCTGTGTTGTAGAAACATGACAAGATTCAGAGAGAGAGGGAGGACGAGGGAGGTGGGAACGTGTTTTGGAAGCAGCTTCGTGAAGACGTTCAAACGTGGTCGTGTTGTACCACCCAACCAAAGCTTCGAAAGAGAACTGACTAATCATCTGTCATTTAGTGTCGATGGTTTCCAAGTTTTAGCGTTTTTCAGTAGTTTTCAGGATATCACCCACCAAAAAATGGCATGGTCGAAGTGCCCCAAAATCACCCAAAAAATATGCTCTAGTGAAGCCAAATCGCGTAAAAAAACGCCTCCGGCGGGGCGCCTCCAGCGGGGCCCTCCGGGGGCGCCTCCAGCGGGGCCCCTCACCAGCCGGGGGGCCGAGGGGGGGCTCGCTTCGCGAGCCCCCGAACCACGGCTCGCTTCGCTCGCCAATATTTTTTCGATATATCGGCTATCGAAAAAATATCGTTATATCGGCTGCGCCGATCTCCGATACATATTATATCGTTCGGCTGCGCCGATACACAACCCTAGTAAACACGCTTCCCGCGTACTTTTTTCGTGCGCGCGCAGGAAAGAAAACGGGGTAAACCCGCAGCTGAAAGAAAACAACAAAACAACAGAAAAAACACTCGGTACAACCTCCAGAGAGTAGTGTAGCTCTGCTTCAACCGCCTCGCTGTGGTCGGCTTAGCGCAGCGGCATCGGAAACTCGTAGAGACCGTCGCTTCACACTTACGTGCCGCGGGAAGCCCCACCGCCACCACTACCGCCGCCGCCGCCGCCGCCGCCTCCACCTCCTGAAGCAGCTTGCGGATTGCTGAGTAGGTGCTCCACCGTGCGCTCCACGTGCCCACCGTGTGCCTGTGAGAAGAAGAGGTCCGTCATGAAATAACATCAACGAAAGATGTGAGACGTAGCGTTTGGAGGTTCCATGAGCTTCGGCGGGCACATAGCGGAGCAGGAGGGGGGAGTGAGAATGCAAGAAATCGCCTGGTGGGCTGTAGAGCAGCGCACACGGACCAATGCTTTTGTCGCGCATGTTCTTGGGATTTACAACACCAACTTTATTTAATTGGCAGGCAGAAAAAGTGCCTCAAGTCAAGAAAGAGGCCTCGTATCGCTTCGCGCTTCCTTTGAACTGAATTGACACTATGGGCACTGCTTCGTGCTACTTAGTAGAATATCAGGCCGCATAAGAATATCTGCTAAATAGTGCTGGGTTTGCCACCGCAGCCAGAACTCTCTACTGGAAAATCAGGCATTTCGACGATTTCGTGCTGGAGTTTTGCACTCCCCACTTTCGTTTTCCTCTGGCTTAAACGAGCAAGCGCATAGCGAGCTGGAGGTAACACGGATACTGTACAGATACGGATTTCAAAGCATGTTGGAGTATGGACGGGCACACCCCAACCCTTGCTAATGACACAATCAGCGAAACATGCTTTTAGCACGCCAAAAGCTCCATAGGCAACATCAGCTCACGATGGAAGCGCCAATCGTCGGGAGGTGGCAGGGGAACCTGCACGCGTGCGAATGATTTTGAAGCCTTGACTGGGTGGATTGAACACGGAACCACCAAGATGAGGAGGCACAAGCGGAAAGATTCGTGTACACGAAAGGTAATCATCTGAAGGATGCGCCCGTAGAGGAGGCTCTTCAGATGAATGCTCGCGAGGCTTGCGAAATTTGCTGTGTCCTAAGTTTTCCTTGACCGGGCACAAGGCCGTACCTAAAGAAACGTGTCGGCAACATGCGTAGGCGTACCTCGAGAACATTAGCAAGGGCCGTCTTGTCGTAGTCGCCGAACATCTGGTGCAGCTGCTCCACGGCGTCTTCGGTAGAAATCTCGGCCATGGTTGAACAAAGTCTTCAAGTGCGCAACTTTGTCGGAGCAAGTACAGTAGGACAAGCTGCGCACGCGCGTCCCCAGGCTCTTTCTCGGTCGTTGCCGCCGGTATCTATATATATATCGATACCCTTCCCTCGTTCTGTAGTCGATGAGTTTCCTCTGCCTTGCTCTGTTGAAGTGCCGTGCTGGTTGCTGTTGTGCGCACAAAGCTGCTCGAAGAACGCGAACACACACGGAGAGGCCTTGTTCTGATTCCGCGGAGTCCCATTGCCGGGGACACGCAGATAATACTATTCGTTGTAGTTTTTGTGTTGGAGGTATTGCGTCCCCAAACCCCGCCTGTGTGTCTTTTCGCCTTTTCTGGAACCCCCGCATTTTTTTTCGGAGGGCCTGCTGCCAATCTGCACAGAACACGCTTGTTGTCTCTCTCTCCAGTACTGCCCCTTCCTGTCTCCGGTGGACCAGGTGAGCGCGCCGGATTCCGCAAAGGTGCCATCTCGTCCTGGGCGGAGAAATTGTTGCACCTGGAACACGCTCCATTTTCATTTCGGGTGCAGATTTTTGTAATACAAAGTGGCTTGCCTGTTCTCCATCTGCTCGTTCGCTGCCTACCCTACCTACCCCCGGGCACACCGCAGACTGAGGACCGCCGATGTCGATTCGATTCTCCGCCGCACAAGCAGTGGTGACACGTCGTCGCGCGCAGGGATGTCGGCATGCCCTCTATCCTGGTCCTTTTGTTGCGCGCGGAATGGGTCGTTGTGTGCCTTGCTCTCTTTTCTCACGCCCTCTTTTTCCGAAACCTTTGTGGAACGGTGTTGGTTTCGTTGCAGAAGCCCGCTCAGGCCTTCCATTTTTTCTGTACAGCAACAACGACTCTCTTTTTCCTCATTTGCTCTTCCAAACGAAAGGTACAGCTGGCCATGTGTGGCACCCGCTTTCCCCTGGCGCAAAAGCCAAGAGAAAATAATAAGGTAGAGACTGCCCCTGATGTCGACAGCAGTGGATTGAGCATATTGGCTGGCCCTCTCCCAACAAACACACAACCCTTTTTTCTGTCTTTTTTTTTGCGCCAATTTTTGCGCGGAAGATTTCATTTTTGAAAATCATGTTTTTTTTCACTACGGTGCGTAGGCACATTGCTTGCACACAACTATTAATACACTTGCTGTTGTAGGTCTCGACTACTGCTGTAGACAGCAGCAGTAGTAGCAGGCATTTTTTGCTGTTTCCGTGAGACAAAGATTCCACACAAACGATACCAAGGTCACCCCGGCCCGACTGATGTAGATTCTGTCCCTGCTGCGACGGGTCTTCTTTTTCACGATCACACGCGAATTCGCAGGGAGAAATTCCAGGAATTCGGGCCGCCTCCCATCACAAATCTATCCACCTACAGAACTCACAATACACCTTTGCAAACTGCTGAATGCGGCGGTGCGCTGCCGTGGCATGATTCGCTTTTCCTGGCTTGATGAACTGAGAGAAGTATTTGCACCCATTGTTGGTGTCGTTGGCTCTCAAAGAGCAAGCGTTGTATTACAGCAGCGTTGTCTTTTTTTTTCTCGCTTTCTTGCTTGACAGGCCGCGTGAACAATCAGCAAGTGGCATCGTTGTAAATCTAATCTACTACTCCGGAGTATTCTTGATCACACAGCAGCAGGCAGGCTTTTTTCTACGACCCGCCCGCTCCCTCGTGTGTGCTGCACTTGATGTGTGTGGTCAAGGGGAGTTCGTGTCCTGTCCCTGCGTGCTCTCCGGTAGTTTGTGCTATCTAATCAACAAGTCTATGCATGACACCTCGACACCGCCGAGCGTGCTGACCACCACAAGTGTTGCGGAACGGTCGCGACCCTTTTTTTTTTTGTTCTTGTACGTGTACAATGAAGTACTTTGAAGTACGGTAGTTTTTTTCTCCGCCGGAACGTTTCACACTGACCCGCTGTGTTGCCACATACAATAGCCTGCTTAGATACACGACGCCGGTAGCACCGTGGTACACTGCATTGAGAGAGACATCGCGTGTAGGTCTTCAAAGAAATGCCCCAGTCGACCGAAAGTTGGAAGTCTTCACAGCCGTGAGGTTTGATAACTCTACACACAGCAGTAGTTGGAAATCTTGGTACTTTACATTGAAAAGCGCCACGCATTACAGCAGTATGTCCTCGAGATGCAAATATTTTAGAAGTACTTTGCGCAGTTCGCGGCAAGACAACGGGCGCGACAAAATGTAACGCCACGGCTCTCTGTCTGTTGCTGTGTTGCTGTCTGGTGTCGCATGTTCCTTCTGAGAATTTCAGAATGCGAACAAACAACAAACATGCGTATGTATGCGTACCTGTAGATGGTTAGTCCTGTCATTCCTGTTGATAACACCCCCTCCCCTCCCCGTCACTTTTGAGCCACCTTTGGCAAAGTAGGAAGGAGCGATTGGCCATCGGTGATCGGTCCAATGTGAACAATGCTCCGTCCTCTCGAGGACGTGTGATCAATGGTCTAACCGCTAAGGCATGCAAAACATAAGAGTACGCCCCCCCCCCTCCCCCCCCCTCCCCGTCACGTGGAAACGCGACGCAGAACTCCCGTGAGGTGTCTTCCTCTGCGCTCCTTCTACTCCCCTCGGCACCTGTCCTCTTCTCCTCCTCCCGACAAGTCCGTCCACATCACCTTTTTGCATCACAATGTCTGCTCTTGAGGAGAAGTCTCAGGCCGCCGACGCACCGGCCGATGAAACCGAGGTATGTTGATGTATGCATGTGTGCGTTGTATCCTTCCTGTGAAGAGTTTGCGTATTGGTTGTGTGTGCTGTATGAGCAGCGGGTTGTGTGTGCGTGCATGCGTTGCTTTCGTTGGCATACACTGAATTTCACCGGCTGACCGACGGCGAAGAAGCGGATTTGTGCGCACAGGAAATGGGATTTATTGGTGTTGGCTTGTTCTCGTGTCAGAGAAATGGTCGCACCCCCTATTTAGTAGGTTCCGCCCGGCGCGCCACTCTGGCTCTCTCTGCGTCGTTCTGCCTGTGCCTCGCCTTGTTCTGGAGAGATATCTCCCCCCTTCTTGTTCGTATTGGGACGGTACCGTTGTTGAGTGAAAATGTGTCACATATGCAAATAGGTGTCTTGTGTTGTACGTTTGATAGAGTCCCTTCTTGTTCTCCCCTCTGGTAGGTTCTGCCGCCACGCCTGTACCGCGTGCATCGATACCCCCCGCTTTGGCTGCTAAAATCGTCCATGCCCCACTCTATGTTATCTCCCGGTCTCCTGGTGAGGGAAAAGCCCCACGCTGTTTTTCTGTGGCCTCTGCCCTACTTGCTGTATTCTCCATCTCCGTTGTATTCCCCCGACCAATTTCGTTTTTCATTCTTGTCTTTGTTGTCTCGTCTGTTTGTCTTGTTGTCGTCCTCTCCCTCGCTCGCTTCGGCTGCGCGCAACAGGACACCCGCTCGGTGCACCTCGTCTCGCAGGAGGGCGAGAGCTTCGACATCAAGGTCAGCGTGGCGAAGATGAGCAACCTTGTGAAGACTATGATCGACGGTAAGAAGCAGCGCCTGCAACCCGCACATGAGTGTACTCCTTCGTGTCATTCCACTCCGCGTTGTTTTTTTACCCGATTGATACTATAATATGTTAGCTTTGCGTCGTTTCATGTATCAAAATGGAGGAGTGTGTCGTGGTGGTGGGTTTTTAAATACAGTTTTGTTGTGGTCCCGGTATTATGCCAGTGCGATACAGCGGATATCACCGGCATTATTCCGGGCGACCGGCTGTATACCGTGACCACTTCTGTATGCAGTTGCTATGCACACCTATTTCTTTCATCAACAGAACGAATCCACCCCTCTCCGAGCATGGAGGCTCCAAGATCAATCACGCGTGTCCGGTGCCTTTTGGGGGTGCAAGCTTTGGTTGTCGCTGAAGAGAACAACGTCCTCTCGTTTTGCGCGACCGCCGCTCCTTGTTTGATTAGTGAGGAAACCAACAGGAATTGTGCATAGTTTTTTTAACGTGGATGGGGTTCAGGTTCTTATATTTGTAACAATCGAACGATCGAACCATCCTTTTCTCAAACCACCGGTTTGGTTTTTGTGGTGGCGTATTCTGTAGTCCAGTCCTGACGTCCTCGAGATCCGCGCGACGCTGGCTCTCTTCTTGTGATCCCCACCAACAACAACGCTCACCACTCTAGTCCGCCGTATCTCCCTCGCTTGGCGCATGCGTGGTGCTTCTGTTGCCTACTTGCGACGTTTGTTTGTTTTTGTTTGCGTTACCGTGACGTTGTGTCAACACGATCGCAACAGAGGACGCAGAAGAGGACGGCGACGCACAAGAGATCCCGTTGCCGAACGTGAAGGCCTCGGTTCTGTCGAAGGTGTGTGTCGGAGTACAGGCTATCAGAGACAAGAGACAGAAGAGCGACATCCACAAACGGGCGCACTAAATAGCATCGATTGACACGCACATACGCCCATGTTGTCCTCCAGAGAGGTCGCAGCACTCGAAAGAGCAACGAACGCTCGAGGATGTGCGATGCTGGTTTCTTGGGGCGTGGAATGTTTAAGCTGTCGTTCTTGCTATTTCGGGTGCTGTTGAGCGGTGTCGTACATAGGTAATAACATAGGACCCGACCCGCTGTTTTTCGGCACCACACCCGTCTTCGTCCTTGACATCTACCGGCAAGAATTTTTCGGTGTCGTCTGATCATGAAAAATGATTTTTTTTGGCACGCACGGCAAGGAGAAGAGGGGGCCCCTCGAAACGAAACAAGCAAGCGCGTCTAAGTCACGCTGCACAATCACTATTTCTGTAAACAATCAACGAGGGGATCAGAACAAGAGAGATGGACGATCTTGATCCACACCCAACCACACACGGATGGGGGCGCATTTTTTTTTTTCTTTTATTGTCCCTCTCGTCTTGGCAGGTGATCGAGTTCTGCGCGCACTACAAGGAGGACCCGATGAACGAGATCGAGAAGCCCTTGAAGAGCGCGAACATGCACGACGTGGTGCAGGAGTGGTACGCCAAGTTTGTTGAGGTGCAGCAGGAGACGTTGTTCGAGCTCATCCTGGCGGCAAACTACATGGACATCAAGCCGCTGCTCGACCTCACCTGCGCGACCGTGGCGTCCATGATCAAGGTGTGTGTGGGTGTGTGTGTGTTGGTCGAGTCGACCTTGGTACGTAACGGGCTGACCTTCGAAAACACGATAGTCTCTGTGCGGTTGAAAACGCAACATGCTCCTGAACGTATGGGTTGTGTTTTGTTACTGACACCGACGGCCCCAACCGGGTGACCAATGAAAAGACGTTAGTCCCAGTTGGGTTGAAAGCAGGAGATGCTTCCAAGTGTGTGTGTACTTCGTTTCGTTGTGTTGGTCGCGGAAGAGGATTCAACTTGGTGTTTTGTTCCTCAGTTCCGCTGTGTTGGACATCTCTCCGGTCCTGTAGCCTTTGCGACTCTTGTTTGCATGCACCCTCTCGTTTGCCCTGGCTTAACCCGTCCTCCTCCCCTGCCCTGCCCTGCCCTGCCCTGCCCTGCCCTGCCCTGATCCGCTTGACAGGGCAAGACGGCGGAAGAGATCCGCAAAACGTTCAACATCGTCAACGACTTCACCCCCGAGGAGGAGGCACAGGTCCGCGAGGAGAACAAGTGGTGTGAGGATGCATGAGCGTACGTCTTGGGTCGTACGCTCGTTCGTTCGTTCGTGTCGTGACAGACAGGAGGCAGGCTAGTGCCACCGCCGGGGTTCGGATTGGGTTGATGATGATGATGATAGTGAGGTCGGCGTGTGATAGGTGTGTTCGTAGCGTGGCGGGTCTATGGCTTTCCTGTATGCGGCGGGGAGAGGGGTCCCTGAAGACTACTGAGTGAATGATGAGCCGGGGGGGGGGGGGGCCCCTACCTCCCGTCCTAGGAATTTGATGAAAAAAGGCAAAACACCCCCGTGTTGACTTTTGGCGGGGGGGGGGGAGGAAG